CGTCAGCGTCAGCGTCAACGTCAGTTGATATCAAATATGCACTGCGACTTTACGCAAAAAGCCTGCTACACTACAAAAGTGGCTTGCCACAACCGCACTACCACCACCACCACCGAACATCAGCACAGCTGCAGCTGACACATTTTGCTGTTTCCTGCAACTGGTATTTTTAGTTGATTTTTCGCTGAGTTGTCTCGAGTTTTGGCCTGCGTGCATTTGAACCGCATGTCTCCATTATGCGATTTATTTAAAATGAAGAAGCCTAAATGGCGTTGAAAGGCAATTACTATGTTGTAGCGAGTTTATTGCATCAAATTAAGCGAATTGATTTTTGTGGGGTTTTAGTTATCAAAAGCACGGCGCCTGTTTCAGGTGCGTATTTCGGGTGTTTAGTGCAACTTTGTTTCATTACTCAATTTCGTCAACATGTTGCGTAAATAGTACCATTTCTTTATACTAGATAATGGTATGTATGTACACGTAATTGAGCAAGCAGCTCATTCTTCAGAAACCATATTCTAAAACCGGTCGTAAATCCAAGCGTCCAGATCCAATTCACAAATTGAAATCTTTTCCTGAGGAAATTAATAGATATGCCTTTCGTCTCTACACAAAACTAGAGACCCATGTATATATTATTTTGATGTAGAATAACAATATGGGTATCACATAAAAGATAAAACTCTGCAGAATTAAAAAAGCTTAATTTGTTTGGTCCATAAGGACGAATAGATACTGAAAATGTCCTCTTATGTGGTTTTGGAAAAAAAAAAATATAGTAAGATCGTGTATAACACGACCACATCGTCAAATTTCGCCTTTCTAACTTTATTACCTTAAAAAATTAAATTAATAAAAAGGGAATTTTCAATACTTATTCGTCCTTGTGAACCAAAAGGTTTTTTTTTTTTTAAACTTAAAAACGCAATTTCACTATATCTTTCGTGAGTATGTATATTGATTATTTCGTTTGATTTGAAATTTTTATATCTTTTTCGCACGGTGTAATCCATAAAAATGCTTGATTACTCAAAAATATTCAGTTAGGCAAGTCAAAAGAGAAAAAAAAATACATCTCGAAATTTCCCAATTTACTTCAGCCCCAGGCCGAAAACCAATGGAAAACTAAAACCATCCATTCTCTCTGGCTTTTCTTCTTACACTGCAAATTTAAGGGATACAAAAAAAAAAACAAACAAAGTTATACTTTGCCTGGTATAAGACCAAGTGATCGATGTAGCTCCGACTGTCTTAAATTTATGTAGAGACTTCAACTCTTACTTTATCACCCCCTTGGTATCTCCCTCCGACGCAATAAAAATCCAAATATCGACGATATTTAGAAGCGAATTTTTGGTCGGTCACTATTCACCTAGAGCGCAACTTGTCACTTTTCGCCATGTCTGCCATTTTGTGAAACCAGAGGTCATTTAGCAGCACCCAGGGGGTCTAGGTTGCCGACAGGCACTAGCTGATATTAGTCGCCTAAACAGTACGGTAATTGTGAAAAATTTCACTGCACATATGTGGCAGTTCTCTGAGCTACGACTCTTTAAGGACAGAGGCATCGTTTCTTTCAATAAACTGAGATAACTTAGTTAAGCATCACTCCTGAAACGTAATACCAAATCGGTGGTTCCATAGGATTAGCTTGTGACAGGAACAGGTTAGCTTTAAGCTACTTAAAAAATATGACTACAGCGGGTCTATTTGTATAAAGCCCCGGTCTATCAAAAGTAATTCCATAAAATGCAAGCCGTTCTGAATACATTATGAAATTAAACCGACTGTATTCCTAGAATTCATCACTTTGGACACATTTCTTTTGGCTAACGTTGCATATATGTACATAACACAAAACCAACAGACTACATTCATCATACTAATACATACACAACTATAGTAGTAACTATGCTTTCATATGCACAAAGCAACCTTGTTTGTTTTTATGAAGGACACACGCCCAAACTGCCCCAACGGTATTTATAATCTCACTATCAGCTCACTCACATCCAAGTGGCATTTCATTTGGCTTACGGCATTGTCTTTTCGTTTGCCGGTTTGCCGGTCATTTATTAGTTTATGCCGCCTTTTGGTCTACCGTTCCGTCGGTCGACTATTTAATCATACTCGTATCTGCGTAAGCTTTCACAATTTGTCCTGTTTTGTGTGTGTGTGCTCGTGTCCCCAAGCGCTTATGTATTGGAATGAACATAGATTTACTTTCATAAATTCCCATATGACCCATCAGAGATTTGTTGTGGTCAGCCTTTTCGTTCGTGATTTTACCGTTGTTTGAATAGGGTGATAGTGTCAATGTTTATGTTGTTTTTATGATTATTTGTGTTTTGTATTAGAGTAAAGAGCTTATTCAAGAGACAAATAATTTATTATTAGATAGGGTAAGTCAGCGGAAAATAGGATGTTGTGTATGATTTAATAGCACTTGAGGAGGGAACTCAAGACATTCATATGTATTATACACTTTCATGAAAATTAATATAGATGCTTGCATTTATGCGATTATGTTTCAGCCAGACTACATAGACTGAAGGACTTCAGCAAAAGAAGTGATATTTGTATTTTGTTCTCCTCTGACCCAGTTAATAACATATAAGACAGCTGATTACTTCAGTAATTATTCAAATTGTCTCACTGTTTTGCTGACTTAAGCAACCAATGGTTGGCCGTTGAGTTTATCAAAAATTCAAAACATAATTTTCTTACTCTCAAAAATAAACAAGTAGCAGCCATCCACAGATGCACTTGTTTGATTTTGTAATCCTTTAACAGGTCAGACAAACTCAGACGCTTCTTAAAATAAGGAATAAAAGTAAAGTGACTAAGCTGTTTATTTTATAACAAGCAATTTTTCTGGTGGCATCGTTGAATAGTATGTAAATGTGTAAATATATTTGTAGTATACCTTTACGAAAATCAGCTGCAGTAAATTCCGTCATTTTGTGAATTTGCCTGTTCAAAAAACAATGACTGGGGATTATTTTTTAGGTCAACGAGGCCAAAATTTTTCTACAATAAGATATTCGAAACTTTTTTTCATAAGAAATATAAACAATAGAAGATCTCACATCAAGGGATTTCGTAAAGTCTTCGAGAGCCAGTTTGGTGTTACTCAGTTTCGAATGATCTTAAACTTTCTTGCGAAGAGTATCATTTCCATTTCTTCTAAGAATATCCCAAAGCTTGCTAGAGGAAACTGGAGAAATATTTTTATGAAAAATTATTGTGTGGTAAATGTGCCCCTTATTAAAAACCAAAATTGAAATTTATAAGAAATTTTTAATTTAAAATGTTGCATGAATACGGAGAGCGTTTAATAATATAATATAATACCTATCAGTGCTGCCGTTGTGCAACTATAAGGGGCCATTTTACCCTTTTTAAGCGTCAATACACTTTGACCCGACTTTTTGAAAATTTTTATTTTTTTTACCCTTTTTTATAACTATGTGCGACTTTTGCCCCTTTTCAGAGATTTTTTAGGAAATGTTAGCAGAACCATGCTATTAAAAAATATTTCCTCCTGTAAGTACGAAAAATGCATCACTTATAACTTATAGGGGAAATGCAACTCTTCTCGATTTATGTGTATGTTTGCAACCCTATTTTGTGAAAAGCTTGTCCCGCTTTTTTCTTTTTAAATTCAACAGATTTATTCTTTTACTAGTAAAGAAAGGCAAAGATAATATGGTCACCCTTTTTTGCGACTTTCTAAGAATTCTCAACGGCAAACACTGATACCTATGTACATAATTACAAAAATTTATATGAATCTGCTTATAAATACATCTAGACAAAGACTGTAATTGAATTTTTTTTATTGATGTAAATTGAAGATCTGCTGGAAAAAAATTTGTAACAACTAAAGTTTGTTTACTGATTGAGCGCACTTCGCCGCCACACATACATATATACATAGATGCCTCAAGTGTCTCTCTGAAAAAACAATTCTACAGCAAATGTCTTATTTTAAACTTTTTATCTATTCTTGGCAATTGGCTACCTTTCAAGGCATAAGAAATTGACATTCGCTGCAGTAATATATTAAAATGAGGCGTTACCGAGGATGCAATTTTTTTATACGCATCTGTATCTGTCGCAATGCTGTACCGTAAATCAGACGTATACATTAGTAATGCATTTGGCTTGCCAAAAAAGATACTTGATGCAATTTTTGTAATTAATACGTCGGCTTTTAACGACAACAGTCAATATTTTAAGGACAAATTTTGCAAATATGAAATTATATTTTAAGATGATCATCTCATAAATAATAATTAATTAATTTTTGATACGAGTATAAAGGCAAAAATGTTGATTTTGTAAATTTTCGATCAACATTGTGCTGTTTCTGCTAAAACCCAGCATAAGTAGTATGTAGCTATGTATGTAAGAAACATATTTATGGAACATATTGCTGTTAAATCATAGCCACAGTTATTATGTGACTGTTAAAAAGCCGAAATAAAACACCCTGACCCTGAAAATCCGTCATAAGGAGGAAAAACTAATGCAAAACTCAATAACATCCCCTGCTAATGCAAATACTTAGTAGAAATGTAAATGCCTTGGATAGCCAGCATAGCATGTTAGTTTACATTCTTTTATTAACCGTTCTCTGTTAGAAGTTCTATTCGCCTGTAATATTTACCTTGTATAGAAATTTGTGCTTAAATATTGTGCAGTTTCCGTATGGCAAGACAATATACATACATACGTGCCTATTTTGGTAGTAAATTGAAAACTTTAAACGCGTCTCTTGAAAAATCCCGGATTTGAGATTGCGGCAGTTTTAGCAAATTGTACAGTAAAATTCAACATAATCATAGTGCGAGTGCTTCTCTTAGTACATATGAAAACTGAAAAATCTGGTAGCACTGCAAACTCTCAGAGAAAAAACTGGCCCAATAATGTATGCGGGAAACGAACTTCTCGTTTGCCGAAGTGAATGAGTACGCGATTCACAAATCACAGACAGTACCAGCAGAGTCAGTTGGTGGCTGTTGGGGCGCACTGTTGTTTGATTTGGCATTTTCAGAGCGCTCGTTGCCGTGAAACGTACTTGGCGCGGACAATCAAAGTGAACGGTGTTTTCACATTAAACTTTCTGCTGGGCTAATTTGTTGAAATCTGCGTCAGACGTAGAAGACGTAAGCGTTTTATTTATTTATTAAATAAGTGTTTATATGCCAAGTGTGCGTAAGTAAATGTGTGGCAATGTAAATTTGAAAAAAAAAAATACTAAATCAAAAAACAAGAAAAATATGAAATATTCTTTTTTGAATTAAGTACATATAAAACTGGCAACGAACGAGGCAACTCAAAGAAAATACAAACACAAAGTGTAGTGCAAAAATGCGTAAAATAAGCAACAAAAACAAGTGATAATAAATTTATTTCGTTTGAAGTGTTTTTCTATTATTTTTCGCTAAAAGTGAATGAGTCGCAAGAGTTCGAATGCCAAGAAGGTTTTTAATAAAATTCATTGGAATCAACATTTGAGAATGCTGCGTCTAATTTACCGACTAATTATTTGTTCGTTCAACCGAATTTAAGTGTTGAGATGGCACACAATTTGCGCTTATTTGCGTTCATTTACTGAGAGTTCGAAAATAATTACTTCGCAAATGATTTTTATTTTTATTTTTTTATTTTTCATTGTTTTCAGTTGATTGCGGCTTGTAACCGTTTTATGTGCTGCAAGTGTAGCTTTAAGTACCATCGCTATTGCCGCGTCACTACCTAATGTACATACATACATACATAGTTGCTTGCTGTTACTGTTGTTATTGCTTTGACTTGTATAAGCTTCCGTTGAACACCTTTATTGGCTTCAATTACGAATAGTGCCGCAACTCTCACATTTAATTGGCGTTAAGTGGGTGGTATGCATTCGAGGAACGACTGACTATACTTTTAAAAACCTACATACATATGTACATACGTTCATACATAAGTATATACATTTGTACATATCTATGTATGTATGTATGTGCATACGATACAAAAAGCATTAGCACATAAGCGTTATATTAGAAATTTGGCGATGAAGACGCCGAAAAAAATTATTCCAAGTAGCAAAAAAAAATAATGTTTTTTGTGCGGTTAAAAAATAAGTACAGGAATTTTAACAACTTAGGAATACTCAAATTTTAAATTTAAGGCAAATTTCGTTTATTAAAATTTAAATAATTTTAAATATCATTGCATTGTTCACTAACTCTGAGCTGATTATCGAACGTGATACCGCTAGGCAGTAGTTAGTTTTAAAAAAATTTCACAGTTTTCATACTAAATTGTTGCTCCTGAAGTTAAAAACGAATCAAGTATTTATATAAATTAAACAAAAAACTTACTCAATATTTTCTAAATAACAGAAATCGCAATAAAACTGAGGTCCAGTGCTAAAATATAAGCAGACTTATAAAGCAGTCAAGCAAGATTTAATTCATTTTCACGGATATTTTTCTTGGGTGAGTAATTGATGTTATACATGTAAATGAACTCTTAACCTTTGGGTTAAGTTAAGGTCATTTTCTAACCCTTTTTTATATTTTTAATATAAGCTTAGATTTACATACAATCAGATAAGGACATCCCATAAACTTAATAATAATCGCGACTTTATTGATAGCAACTATTACAGTAGCACCTGTGACAAAAAGTTTCAAGTTTTCTAATTCTACTTGGAAAAAGCTCGTACTGCTTTTACCAATAGTTCGCGTTATACTCAGATGCATATACCTATTTTCTAAATAGTATCAATCCATAAAGAGTAACATAGTATCACACTGTGGCTAGATCCCTCATATTTTTAGGGTTGTAGAGACAAGTCAAGACAGCTTGGCGCTGAGAACTTTGAATACGTCCGCCTGTAACTCGGAATATATCGAGTATTTGGTTTGTTTGTTTTTTTGCCTTTTTATACCCGAGCGCACTTGTGCACAAGGGTATTATAACTTTGTTCACATAACGGTTGTTTGTAACAGGCAAAACGAATCGAGATAGATATAGACAAATGTATACATAAATGATCAGGATGAAAAGAGAAATCGATTAAGCGGTGACTGTCTGTCCGTCCGTCCGTCCGTCCGTCCGTCCGTCTGTCCGTCTGTGCACACGATAACTCGAGTAAAAATTAAGATATCTTAACGAAACTTGGTACGTGTACTTCTTTCGGGCGTAGGACGGATGGTATTGAAAATGGGCAAAATCGGACAATAACCACGCCTACCTCCCATATAACGGTAATTTTCAGAAATACGAAAACTGCGATATTTTAGTAACTACTGAAGATTATTCACTCAAAATTGATATTTGCAATAAGTTTTAGACGAAAAATAAGAATATTAACATTTTTTTGAAAATGGGCGTAGCCACGCCCACTTATGGTTACATGTGTATATCTTGGCAACCGCTGCACCGATTTCTTCCAAACTTGGCACAGTTATTGGCCTTGGTACAGGATACCAAATGGCCGAAAATTTTAAAAATCGGACAATAACCACGCCCACATCCCATATAACGGTAATTTGGAGAAATACGAAATCTTCGATAAATCCGTAAATATTGAAGCTAATTTATTCAAAATTGATGCTTGCAACAATTCTTTATCAGGAAATTCGCTTGTCATAAAATTTTGGAAAATGGGCGTGGCACCGCCCACTTATGATCACATATATGTATCTCGGCAACCGTTCTACCAATTTGTACCAAACTCGGTATGGTTATTGTGCTTGCCACATAAAAGCAAAACGTTCAAAATTATTGAAATCGGACTAAAATCACGGCTTTTCATATAACGGCAAATTTCAGATATGCTTGAAACTTCAATATTTCGAAATTTAAGGACGCTAATTTACTCAGAATTGATACACACCGGCTTACCATGTAGCGGTAGCTTTCGGAAAGGTGAATATTATTTAATACTTGCGCCGGGTATTTAATGTTCGGCCCCGCCCGAACTTAGACTTTCTTACTTGTTTTTACTTTTTTTTGATATCGGACATGCCCGATCTCCACTCCACATCTCCACTTACTCATTACATATTTATTTTAACGGCAAACACCATCAGCAGCGACTAAAATTAGGAATCACGATTTGAAGCCAAGTTTGAAGTCGCTAAAAATTTCCATTGATTTCGAATGTTTTTTGCCGACGGTGTTGTGTATTTTATAACATACTTTGTATTGAAGAAAACGAAAATCACCGTCAGCAAAAAAAAGAGCAGAAATAAACGAAATTTTTTACGACTTTGTATTATATTAAAATTTAATAGCCTACACATCTGCATACCAAACATTTTTCTAGAAATTCAAATAATTGTTTCATTTCTGTTGGTAAATGGTTCTATGCTTGCTAGTACATTCAAAGTACAATTCGCAGCATCAGATTGTAGTTGTATTGCCAATAGAAAGAAAGAAGAGAATATACCCAAAATGACAACTTTTCATTTCGCAGTTTATGAGTAAATTATCAAACTCCCATTGAAGAAACAATTCACCAGGAAAATTAAAAAAAGCAAATAAATGTTTTGTAAAACTATGAAAAACGTATACGCTGTTGGTAGCAGAGGATAAAAAACCTGGGGGTGAAGAACTTGGCACTTAGACGGTTCCAGCGCCAAACAAGAAGATTAATGACAAAAAATTTGTCTTCTTTGATTTCGAACGACGCATACCGATCACTGATTTTTTTTTAGCAACGGTACGCTCAACTGCTGCGCCTTCTGAACCTATCCATTGTACATATGTATGTGTACTATGTAGAAATATAGGCAGACGTCTTACATATGTATGTATATGGCTGTAGGGTATGTAAATCTATACAAACAAACATCCATATACAATAATTAAAAGCGTTTAAAAGCGCATTATTATACAAAAACAAAGTAATTATTGTATGAATACATTGATATTGCGACTTTCCAAGCTTCAGCCGTAGCGCACTGCGATTATTAGCAAAAAAATGCATGATTACCTCGAATGATATGGAACTTGTTCGCTCAAAATGAAAGTGAGCTGTCAAAAATTAGTTGAGCCTCAAACAAGTGCAGAGCAGTTTATAATTATTTAGGAAGTATTCCAGAGTATGTGTTTATCATGGCGAAAATTAAGCGAAAGAAATACGTGCATGCGAGTACATCTTTTTTACTCACATGCAAATTAAACTACGTTTAAGATACGTATGTATGTATGTATAGAAGTACCTCAGCTGATGGAGAAACACACAAAAGACAGCATTATCAACAGTTCTTCATTTACACCTCAAGGCAGCGGTGATTACAGCAAATGAGGTCATTGCAAATAATGCCGTTATTTACGCTTAAACAAACTGGTTAAAATGAAATAGTAGAATAGCAGGTATCTGTAATAAAGCATTAGTGTTAGTGGTATTTTTACGCAAAAAACCCTTTTAGGAGAAAAATGTTGCCACTACAATTAAAAGGAAAAACATTCTAGAAAAAACCATTGAAGAAAGAGACTTAATTCGTGCATGCACATACATACGTAGCATTAAAAAGTGGTCTGACTTCATGTGACAGATTCTCAGGTGGTTTCTGTAATGTATTGTGATGCTGTAGTTAAGTATCTCTGCCGGAAACGAAGAATTTATTCTTGATTAATTCGGATCTTCAAATCACTTTATAATCACGCATTTGTTACAAACCTGGGTCCATTTGTGATTTCTTAATCTTAAGACTTTGAACTCAAATCGTTGCAAGATTGCAATGCTTGATTTCTCTTCCCACTCCCATAGTTGTAGGCCACAAGTCCGTATAAATTTAGGAATGGAAGGGCAGACTCATAACTTGCTTTGCAGTAGAATTTGCGATGTCGGATCAAGCAACGAATACGGGGTCATTAGCTTTATACCAAGTCGCTTTCGTTTCGTGAAAATGTACTTAACTTCTTCAGCCATGCCAAAGGTCATTCACAGCAACCTTTCACTTAAAAAAAAAATACAACTCAAAAAAATAGCTGTAAGATAAGCTAGCTGAATTAGATTTTTCAATTGACTTTACTTAAAATCAACAAAAAAATTTGAGGTTCCCAAAGTCTAAATCTGAAAAAATTAATTGATAGTTTTAATACCCACAAGATTTCAATATTTTCGTAATTCAAAGTAGGCTTACCAAATTTTCAAATTATCAGTTTAAGAAAAAACCGTGGTTTTAGTAACCTCCTCTTCCTTTTACATATATGCATGTATGTATGTTAATATAGGGGGTACTCCTTGTACTATATTTGTCGATATACATACATACAATATATTCGCCTTACAATGACATATACTATGTCCTTTAGTGGACTTGCCATAGAACAATTTTGTCATTTACTACCAACGTCTATGTCTACATTTATAAACGATGTCAACTTGTGTTTTCGAAGGACGAAAATGCTGCATGCATCACAACAATCTAGCAACAACAACAACAGCAACAACAACGTCAATACACACCGCATTATCGGGCAGATGAATAACACTAGAAAATGAGATAAACTAGTCGAAAAGGCAGAAGAAGGAAACGAAGAAGAAAAAGAACGGCAGCAAACTGCCATTCCACTCAACAGCAGAGTAAAAATCTGTATATAAAATAAAAACAAAAAGCTAAAATAAACAAAGCAAAATGTATTTTAGTTTGCGGTAAGTAATGCAAGCTGAGAAAAGTGCAGCAGCGAATGCTCTCAAGCTATGTACGCTCTACTATGCTGCCGGCCAAAGTGCAACGCAGCTTACGGAAGTGACATGGAAAGACAATAAAAGGTTGAAGGACACATTGTCGAGATTGTATATGTATGTGTATGAATAAAGTAAATAGATATGTGAAAGGAGGTATGGGAGCATATAAGGCAGTTACTGCGGTTGACTTGCACTGTATTACATTAAAATGAAGCAGTGAAAAGGACAATAATGCAAACACGCATACGTACATACACAGTTATGAACAGAAACGCACACAGCCACGCAGGCAGATATTTACATATACACATGCTTTTGTCTGTGACTGTTTGTTGTGACCACACAAGGACACAAATAATGGCTGAAGGATGTGTGGTTGGATGAGTTGTGAGCAGCATTGAGCTGCAATGAGATATTGCGAACGGTAGTTGTGTGTTGGAATTTTGAGGTAAATTTTGTTGCATAAAGACCACAATTTTTTTCTCTCGATCGAGAACGCAATTGATATTCGCAAAAATACACTTTCACAATATACAGTACTTTAGTGGAGTGAAAGGGGGAATATGTGGCAATCAGAGTGCAGGTGTTGGCAAGTAGTCGGGTTTTGGAACTAATCGCATGAAAGTGGGGTTTAACTAATCTTTGTAAAGCACTTCAACTTGCCATCAATACGCTTTTCATGAAAATATTTGAATAGGAAGACCTAAAGGGTGGCTATTGGCTATGGTGATACTAGATATAGATGTATACTGCAGATATTGTATAAATTTGCATAGATTATGAAGTCAT